CGGAGCTGCAACAGAGAAGGCCCTCCCCCGGGTCGTAGCCAGATGGCATTGGCTGGTAGACGGAACCCGGAGGAGGCCGACCCTGTGCGATCTAAGGGACATATCAGGCACAAGAAGTGTTACATTAAATTAGTGGCACAGATTATTGTGGCAATACTGTGTTGGCATTATCAGACATATTTCATGAGAAATAACAATATTGTGTGTGAGTAGCTAAGTTTCAGAGAAAGAGAGGAGATAACATAATAAGTGAGCACGGGGGGCAATTCACATATGTGACACTTAAAGCAAAGATAGGGTTACCAGACCTGGGCTGTGTGTAAAATCCATTGACAGCCAAGTCTTCTGTAACTCTTTGCTACCATTTAATTATGGCCTCGATTTCTGCACCCCAAATAAGGGAAACCTACTGAATCAAACAAGGGAAATTTCTAATTTTTTAGAATGGAACCTATAATTGTCATTCAGAGTTCTTTCCACTCTTTAACATTAGAAAAATTGTAAGAAATATTGAAGCACAATATTTTTTACCTTATACTTTTGAAGCTACGTTTTATGTAAAAAGGTATTACTTATAAGTACAATATCAAAATCAATTATTTGGCCAGCTGACTTAACATGCTGTTCTTTGGGGCAATATGATAGTAATTCATAGCATATTAATATATACTCGATTAATGCATTGCAAGGCCATTCTCACAACATACAAATTCTCACAACTAGGCAACTGCAAATCCAATTCCTTTAGCGATGGTTTTCACAGTACACACTCCTGACAAGAATACTATTTGGGGAATACAGATACATTTGGGGAGGCAAAGTTAAAACTACAGGCTAGCTTTGACTACACTGACGGGAATATTTTTGAAGAAACCTCTGCAGATCTGGATGAACTTACAGATACTGTAACATCATATGTCAGCTTCTGTGAAGACCTATGTGTACCGACCAAGAACTTGCGAATATACAGTAACAATAAACCTTAGTTCACAGCTAAACTTAAGCAGCTATGTCGTTCCAAAGAGGAAGCTACAGAAAAGATGATAGAATGCTGTACGATCAGTCCAGAAACGTATTAACAGGGGAGATCAGAGCAGCCAAAAGAAGCGATTCTAAAAAGCCAAGGAATCAGTTCTCAACAAATGAACCAGCAAATGGTTCCACCACAAAACCGCGGTAGACAAAAGCGCGCTCGACGAAAGCGCGTACGTGACGTCATCACAGCGCGAC